GTAATAGCGTGTTCATTCGCTTCGCTATCGCCTCATTACGGCATGGCCGTTCATAGTAAACCGACACAAGGCAGCAAGATCTCGGCAGGCGCATCACATCTCCGGCTACACGTAAACGTTGCAGTTGTTCTTCAGTGGTGGCGTCGACGTAAGGATGGGCGGAAAAGGTGACGATACGTTCTGGGATGTTGCTGACAACACCGTACTCTCGCAGAAAATCCATACCCAAGATCAACTCTTTACAACAGTCTGGCAAAATGACAAAAGTGGCGACGAAGTTCCAATCATCAATAACGAGCCGAGTGGTGCATTTACCGGTTGGCGTCATTAGCTGCCCACCAGCACTCCTTATGCTTGACCCACTCCATGGCACCTTGACCTTCTTAAGGCGGTCGGCGAGCTCTTGTCTTATAATAGAGAAGTCAGCACCAGTGTCAACCAGTGCTGTTACGTTGTGTCCGTCTATAATAGCGCTGAGGTGGGCACGTGCAAATTCATTGGCATTAGTACTCGTAGTTGTCGTCGTCTTCGTCATCACCGTCGTCGCGTCGTCTTTGTGTAGACGCAAGGGGGTCTTTTTGGCGTCTCGGCGATTGGCAGCCTTGCCCCCGGAGGTCGCGGCAGTTAGTTTCCCTGGCACGGGCTTGGGGAGTGGTTTCTGAAGACGTCAGCGTATTTTTCGCGATTCGGGGAATTCTGACCTCGTGCAGGTGAGGGAGACCGCCAGCGACGACTTGGTGAAGACGCTTGGTTGGTCGGGAGGTGATCAGCACCATGGTCACAAGGATCTTCAAAATAAAAGGAAGCGGGCCGAGAAAAGTTTCCAAACCAGGCTTCTCAATGACGGCAGTAGCGCGAGATGTGGCCTGGTTCGCCGCAGTGGAAACAAAGGGGTCGACGGTAGGCAGTGCGCCACAAGTCGGTCCGACGTACTGGTGGTCACCACACAGGTTCCCGCTGCTACCACGGCAAGGTAACGGGCCGTGGCTGAAAGGGTGCTTCTTCTGGGGCAGGCGGATGACGGCGGACGTCATCGGCATAGGTCAATGAACGTGGTTCGGGTGGTGGCACCGGTGATGGAAAGGCTTGCCGTAGTTACTGGCGCACGATTTCTGCAACAGAAGCCACTGAGAGCTCGGTCGATAAAAGGCCGAGGGCCCGCACCTGTTCCCGCAGGATTTGTCTAATCATTTGCCGTAAAGAGTTTTCGGAAACGGCAGCGTTTTGAGCAGCGGCACCAACAGGTGTTTGGTGGGGCAAGCGGTCAAAGTGGTGGCATTGTTGCCGGAGTGCCCGCTCAATGACAGTCGCCTCTTTGATGAATTCATTCACTGTGGTTGGCGAATTTTGTACAAGGCCGCTGAAAAGCGGTTCCTAACTCCCCGCATCAGGTGACGAACTTTCCTTGCCTCGGGCATGTCAGAGTCAGCGCGGCAAAATAGATGGGCCATATCCTCTGCGAACATGGCGACGCATTCGTTCGGCTTCTGCATGCGGGCTTCAATCATCTCTTGTGCGAGATCCCGTCGGTCTGCACTCAGGAACGTCTCGAGAAGCTTTTGGCGGAAATTGTCCTAGGTTCGAAAAGTAGGCTCCCTGTTTTGGTACCATGTGCGAGCGCTATTTTCCATTGCGAAGTAAGCACGGCCAAGTTTTTCTTGCACGCTCCAATGATTCACCACAGCGGTCCGCTTGAACTGGTCGAGCCAGTCTTTGACATCTTCATACGGTTTTCCACGGAAGACTTCGGGAACACGAGGAGTCTCAAAAGTTACCTGGTAAGGATGAGTTGTCTGGGCCGGAGGAAGATTTCCAGACATTGAAGGGGCCGCCATGTTGGTAACAGGAGATGTCGTCAAGAGTTCTGGACTTAGGCCTAGTAGGCGCCGGCTGAATCGGTGTACTGGAGTCGTAACAAGTTGAGGCTCCGGACTGGGTGTACGGTCCCGACCAACGCTTTCTTGCATCAGGTTGCAGGCCCCAGCACCTCCACCAGTGTCTCGACGTGAAGACAGAGGTCGTATTTGAAAACGCTGAGAGAACAGCAGCGGGTCGGTCTTTTTAATAACCGCGCGCGAGAGAGAGTTCCTCGTCTTTCTCGTTGTTGCGTTCTGCGTAAAATCGTGTAGATGCGCGTATGCGCTGTCGCCTTCGTCTTTTTCGCGGGACGCACGTGACAATATAAACAAGCAATTGGTCTACCGTTAATTACGTCGAATGACAAGTTCTTGGCTCTAGAGCTACATAACATGCTCGCAGAGCTAATAGAGACCCACACGATAGCACAGTATGATCGGTTAACCCAGAGCCCTATGGGCAGGCATATTTTGGACACAATTGGCGTCACGTACAATGAGGAATATGGGGTAAAAAAGGGCATTCCAAGGGAGGCAAGGGGGCATATCTTGGTGCCTTTATTACCTGAAATTATGCATCCTGAGCATCACCGTGCTAAAAAAATAGAAAGGGGAAAAGCCCACATGAAAATTTCGGCAACGCCTGGGACGTGGTCTATGTAGATGCAGCAGAATACGAGAATGGCCGAAGCATGGTATTGGTAGCTACAAATATTCAAAGGGATTCCAACGTCAGTGGCGGTTTACGTACAGACAGGGCAGAAGTGGCGGAGGACGCGGCTATAGCACTAGCAATAGCCTCCACAAAAGCTGAAGTCGTGAGCAGCGACTTGAAAACCGCTGTTAAAAATTATGCTAAGGGAAGGATCTCACCGGAACCGCTAAGGATTCGGGCAAACTTTTGCGACGAGCGGGTTGTTCATATTGTATGGGCACCTGCTCACTCCTCCTTCTCCGGAAACAAAATCGCGCACGACCTGGCTCGAGAACTGGCCAGCCGAACATGCGCAGCGCGAAGTCCGGGGGCGCAGAAGGCCGGCACGATTAGTTATGAAGAGATCACAAAACACTTCAGGCTAGAAAGGGTCCGATTCCCTCCGGCACATACCTCGCTCCAGAAGCAGCAGGCGACGGCATGGCGTTTCTTACAAACCAACACGTTCCCGAACCCGGTAACTTTTCACTACATCTACCCAGAGATATACTCAGATTTGTGTAAGTTCTGCAATCAAAGGGCGTATCATAATCATATAGTGTGGGCTTGCCCCTCAGTGACAGGGCAATATAAAAAATAAAGCAATGGAGAGCAGTGGGAGACCGCACTGCTAAGCGCAGACCCAGATGTGCAACTCGACGTCTTTCGGCAAGCCAAGGATGCCGCCAGAGCTCAAAGACTCATGGCTGCCATCTAGGGGAAGGAGACCATTCTTCCAAATATTGCCGCTTTTTTTTTCTTTATTAGAGGTATTTTTTCCTCAAAACTTTTTGAAATACTGAGCTCAATGCAAGCTTGTAACAGACGGTCGGGATTTGTCATGCTCTTTAACATTCATTGACAATAACTTATTATTCATAACATTCATTCACAATTCATTTACAATTAGCGCTCATTGACAGAGTCGCCTGACTGACCTGCATACATTTTGCCACATGATAATCGAATCTTGTACACCACACCTACACTGCATTCTGCAAACTTCAGATGATTTTTTTTACATTTGGGCTTTCTCAATTTCTTTACAAATATGCTTCAACAACATTTGACTGTTTCTGGAAGGCAGAAAACACTACTGGTATGTAGTACACAGAGGCCTCATTTTTAAGATTGTGGATCTCTTTCTTATATAGAGCAGAGCTGCATGCCTGTTTTCCTGTATATTGTTGTTACATTTCTGGCACTTGCCTTTTACCTTGAAAAACATAACCTGACAGAGCGGTGTTACTGCCACACTTAGTCAACACGCCTCCTGAAATCTCGTTAGCTGTGCGCTTAAATGTTCGTGCGCAGTGTCAAGGCACAATTCTATTAACGAATATTCTAAACACATAGCAATGTCACATTTCAAAATCTTGGAGTGCATAGACTTGCACGGTAAAAGACCTTCACGCCCACGTGGCGAGTACATCAAACAGGTTTACTGGCTTGAAACGGCAGTTGGAAATCGAGAACCTGCAATTTTGCTTCGCTTGTAAGCCCATGTGAAAGTTGAACCTTTGCCATTATCAATGAACACATTAAATATCAGCTACTGTTACAGAGCCCCCATAGTGTCGTAGTATTTAGCACTAAAAGCATTATTGATTCATACTAACTAGCCTGCCAACGCATTGTGTTGCACAAGCCCTTAATTGGCTCTTTTAGTTGTGCAGCAGCTTACTCGTTTCCTAAACAAGGCCAATGCGAATGAGCGACGAAACCTTCGCGTGGGTTATCCCATCAACGCACCTTTGCGGTTGGCGAACAACACATCGAAACATGCCCAATCAAGAGATAAGGGCGTGAGTCCGGGCGACGACACCTAGGAGGTGAAAGTACAGTGTGCATGCGCGTATCCCAACTCTGGTGAAGAGTGAGGCAGCGAACCCTAAAAGGCGCCCTTTTCGCACTGCAACGCTCAAGCATCCTAGAGTGGTTTAACGTGGTCACGCTGTGAAACGAGGCCTCGGAGGATCGAGTCTGCTGGAGCACGCTTAAGAACCGTTGCCTTCTCTTATTGCTTATGAATATCATATATATATATATATATATATATATATATATATATATATATATATATATATATATATATATATATATATATATCCTAAAATGTTCGTACACATGCCCTTTCAATAAAACATGTTCACGGAACAAGCAACACTTTTGTGCAGACTAGCCCAAGTCTGAAAATGCAAAGCAAGAAAAGGTTAGACGATTAAGAAGCTTCAATGTGCTTTTGTTTTTCCTCGATTCTCCCTGAAAATAATCTTTGTGGCAGAGATTGTATATAATCAAAATGAAATGTGAAAGTTCAACGAAGAAGCTGTAGTTCAGCGTGCAGCAATGTTTCGACTTGAACAAATGCCAGGGGTGTCTGATAAAGAGTGTTATCACTATTGATTTATTAAAACTGCGTTCAAAGTGAAAACGTTGATTTTTTGCAGCCTATTCTTGGAACTGAGTGCTCCTACCCATGCGTTATATCACATGGTGATCCCAGTAACAGTTATGGAACTTTCTATCTAGCGGAGGAGGACTGGACACCTTGCAGTGTGGGTAATACTTTTGTGTATTCAAAGCAATCTTTCACGTTTTCTATGATGTACCCTATATTTGTGGTCACACGTCGTACACAAAAGTTTTAGGCACGCATTTATTTAAACGTAAGGATGTCATAACGCAAAGGCGGTAACAAGGGTCGACAAACACAGACAAATAAGAATACACAAAGACCGGCGCCACGCCTTTTCTTTGCTTGTGTGGTCGTCTCTTAGATGTGCCGTTGCATTATTATGAACGTTTATCAACTTGCTTAACTATCAGTGCTACTGTGCGTGACCGTTAGATTATCCTAATATATTAAATGTCTCAGTCAGCACGTCGATTTGAAGGGCGAAACCTTTAATTTTTCACACGTGCGGTGACTTTCTGCGTCCGTCCGTAACTTAGATGCTAGGAGACGCTACCTCGACGAGTGTTCGCCTATGCACTAGTTTTCGAAAAGTTTTGTTAGCAAATATAACTTGGGAATATACCAACCACAGCAGAAACCAATGCCGCTGCCAAAAAGCTTATTATCCTTTAAGCTAACGTCACGAAATGCACAGTAGAAAAAATGGCGGCGTATCCATGGAGTGAATGATGGATAGTGGGGCGAAGGATTCGTCCGTCTATTCATTCTTGCTTCCGTCTATCCATGTGTGCGTCTGGGTGGCTGCCCGTGCGTTCATCCGCCCATCCGTGCGCGGGTCTGTTCGTGCGTTCGCACGTTCATCTGTGCGTCCGTCTCTGCTTTCGTCTATGCATCCGCTCTTGCGTCCGCCCATGCGTCCATCCGTCCGTGCAGCCATCCGTGCGTCCGTCCTTGCATCTGTATGTGTGTCCGTTCGTCCACCTATTCAACACTCCAAGTACCACCATCTCGCATCTTTTCATCCTATATTCCTCAGATAGAAGCAGCGCCATCCAGCGGACATTTCAAAGACTGAACGATAGGAGACACGCACATTGTCTTACGGCTTGCGCTTTGGGTCTACTTCCCACGTTTAACCACCTCGAGTTCATGGTATATACTAGTTCACTCTATTCATGGCACTGCGGCCCAATGCTCGCTAAACCTTTCTAAAACCTAGGAGGTTACGCCCAGCGAGTATACCGTAGCAACCCTTTCTTGTCTTCTGTGCGTTGTTGAACAATAAAAAATTCGCAGCGTGCACGTTAACTAAGAGCCAAATTCTCCGGTCTCTCATTCCCCCTTAGCAGCCATTGGCATGTACATTGAGCACTATCGTTTATTGTTCAACAACTCACAGAAGAAATCTCTTACCAGAACCACCTTGTAGGTAAAAATGTTATACTCGTTACACACTACTACAATGGCTACGGCGGACGAACGGGTGCTGCTATAAGGAGCTTCGGCGTTCCAGTCTTCAACGCGGTCAGCGTTCCGGCGGCGTTGCTGCCGGGTGTCCACTCGCGACTTTGCCAGCCAGTTTTTTTGAGGGCTGATCCCATTGTCGTCGTCGTCGGCCCCTGCCGGGACCCGCGAGGATGGGGTCAAGTCCTGTGGCGCTTCCGCTCAAGGAGCACTGCTTCAACTTCACCGTCCCGGAGGGGATGGCGTCCGTCGAAGAGATCATCAATGGCCTCGAAGACATCATGGGGAGTGAAGGGGTGCTGTTTCTGCAACACTTCGGAGCTTCGAAGTTTCTAGTGGCGGCTCGGTCGGCTGCACAAGCAACCAAGTTGATGGTGAACCAAGGATTCATGTTACAAGGTCACAAAGTACAAGTTGAAGCAGTCGGGGCGCCAAGCGTACAAGTCAGTGTGTTCCACCTCCCGCAGCATGTGTGAGACGATGCAGTTATTTCAGCTCTTTAGTCATACGGAAAAGTAAAGGGTATCACATTTGTTACCTTGCAAAGGCATCAATCAACGTACACTGGTACCCGCATCGTCCAAATCGAGACGGCCAAGCCCGCCCCTAACTTCCTATCAATAAAGGTCACCACGTCATGCTCGAGTATCGTGATATGCGCAGAGTATGTGCACGCTGCAGCAGAGAAGGTCATGTTGCGGCTACTCTCACAACACCCTTTTGTCAACGATATGGCACCTTCGGCCATACATCTGAGGATTGTGTGCCCAAGTGTAAGCGCTGTAATGGGAACCACGCGACGAGAGATTGCTTCCGTCCGAAGTCATACGCAGACGCAGCACAGAGCACTTCAGAGTCACCAAAAGAATTTTCAGAACTTCGAGAGAGTGCTTCGAAGAGAACAACTGAAATTGGAACCTCCAGGCACATGGAAGTTTTGCAACGCAAAACCAAGCCACGGCCACAGAAAATTCCACATTATTGGGATAAAGACAGCGCAACCGACACAAAATTTTATGACGCCAAGACAGAAGACGCCAGCGGCGTTGATGCCGTGTCGCCATGCACAAGGAGTGACAACGACGTTTCTGCACTTACTGGGGACACAGCAGTGTTGTCATCTCCAACAACGTCGTCACAGGATCCCAGCAACGCTGTGAAGACGCTGAGTGCGTCTGCTACGTCTTCATCAGAGAAACTCAAGGCCACAGAAAACGAACAATCCTCGAACGCATCACCGCTGGAGGAAGCGTCCCAAGCACCTCGGAGCGCTGGCCAACCGGAAAAATTGCTCCGACCTTCCGAGACAACAAGTGCATGTGACAAGCTCCATGAACGGCCACCTGTGGGCCTGGAAGGTAGCGTGAAGATGACGCCCACGAAAGAAGTAAAGACCACGTCTTCAAGGAAACCTAACACGCCTCGCACACACACTGTACAGGCCCAAGAAGAAGCGTCCGACAAGACATCCAGACATCGTAGGAGCCGCTCACCATCACGAAAATTAAGGAGTGACAGATTTTCGCAAGCCTCACGATCGGTATCTTTGTCTTCTGAAAATACGTGTTCTCCCGACAAGTTGTCTCGAGCCACAAACTCTCAGCGTCGCACCAAGCCTGGTAGTTCAAGCAGTGAAAGTGATGTCACCACCTCCGGAACATCCAAAAAGCCCCGAGTGGATTTGCCAAACCGAGATCCATCACCTGGTGGGTGAGGACTTAATATTTTTTTTAATTTGTGCGGGCCACATCCAATCTTTCCGTTTCCTGTTGTCTGTACCGTTGCGATGCTTGCTTCCCAGCCGTACAACCACTATGCATTCGTTGGCTCTGATGCATGCAAACTGTTTAGTATTTCATAAGTTACTGTCATTCACGATGGAACCTTCATGTGCGAATATGTGAGCTCTATGCTGTGGTGGCTATGCCCTGTTATAGTAATTGCATCATGTGAGTTACGCTGAATGCTGCGTGTACTACTTCTGTTATTATTGGTGTTGCTTACTAGGTCTGTTTTATATGTGCGCGTGAGTAAATCTCAGCGCCAGTCTTTTGAGTATCATCACGTTGACTTCATCCACTGCCGCTTGACAGAGGAGAGGCCGTGCTGCCCCTTTACGCATCGCTGTTAAAAAAAAGGAAAGAAAAACTATTGTTTCGTTTCCCGCTAAATTTATTTTAAATGGATAGGCTATCTTTGATGACCTTCAATGTTCGTGGTTTCAAAGATCTTGTAAAACAGGAGATAATGAACCTTATGCGCTTGCTCGGGGTCGACGTGCTTTTTCTGCAAGAGACCACCTTTCGAACACGGCACGACATCATGACCTTCCGTACTAGATTTTCGGTTGAAGCCTTCTTCTCCTGAACGCAGACGCAGTCGCGTGGCACCGGTGCGTGTTTCTCAATCCGAGGTTCAGGTGGGGTGCGCATTGCCTCTTCGATGCATAAGGTCGTGGTATTGCGGTGGACATGTGGATAAACGACCAGAAAATCCAATTCACCAACTTTTACGCGCCCGTGGATAGGTCTCTTGCCAATGACTTTTTTAGAGGTGCCAGGTCGTTCCTGCTAAATTCAGCACCGTGCGTGTTGTTAGGTTTTTTCAACGTTGTTTTTTATTCAATTCGAGATGTCCGAGGCCCTAGTCAAGGACAAAGCACATACCATTCGAAAGAGTTGCAGAAAATATGTAGCTCTAGAGTTGAAGCTGGTCCATGCATGGACAACGCTTCAAAGGAACACCTTTGAAGCCACGTGCGTTCAGGGTACGTCTCAGAGCAAGATTGACAGAGTCTATATCCCTAACGAGCTCGTTGCATGTTTAGAGACATGCGATGTAATATCTTTAGCGCCTGGGCAACGCAAGCTCAGCCACCACATGCCAGTGCTGTTCACCTTAAAGGCCCAGCTGGGAAGGCATTGCTCCAAGTTGTGGCGAAGGGATTCATCAATTTTAAACGATGAAGTTTCGGTATCTGAAATGCGCATGAATATCTATGCGTCTTTGAAAGACACGCCGCAAATTACGCCGACAGCATGGGATCTCTTGAAGGCCAGATGGCGCGTGATTGCGCAGGAGGCCGGGAAAATGCGCCATGCACGCCTAACATCCGAAATGATTGTAACATTAGGGTGTTTTCAAATCGTTGAGTGCGCAGGTAATCCTACCGGTACAATTCAAGAGTACGTTGTGGTCAAAAAGGCTAAATACGACCTCTTGTTGAGGGCAAGGTCCAGGGCTTTTCAACGCACAGAGGAACTGCACCTGCCTATGGACGAACTAGGTAACTTGACATACGCACAGCGAGTAGGGGTAAGAAAACACCAGCCCAGTATCATCGGTGCAGCACGGACAGAGTGTGGGAGCATCGTCACAGATATCAAATCAATCGAGGAAGTCTTTAGGGCGCATTTTGAAAGGCTCTGCTCTGCAGATCATCGCTCCAAAGACAGCAACCAGCATCATACTTTTGCGAAGGGTTTCCCACGCTGTGTCCCGAGGCGTCTGATACGCTCTGCGCTGAGGCGACGAAAGATGAAGTTTGGCAAGCCTTGAGGAAAATGAACACTACCACGGCTCCAGGTCGATACAGAATACTAACGGGGTTTTATATAACTTCCTTCGACGTCCTAGGCGACGCACTTACTGGCATGGTTAACGGGTTCATTGTTG